TTATAGCACACTTTCTGTAAATCATATAAACTTCATTTCACTTCTCAACTATCACTGTGTTTGTCCTCTATATGACATATTTTACCGATTTTTTTTATCCAAACAATCAATGATTTATAAAGGTAAATCAGGAAAATTAACAAGGCTGCCCAAACCTTTTCATGTGACTGTATATATATTACTATATATATACACAAACAACAGAAAAATAACCATAATTGAATAAAATCAAAATTAGATGAATAATCAAGCCAGGAAGATTGGGATCTATTGCCATTTTTGAACACAACCATGCAAAACAAACAAAAAAAAATCAGGTTAGTTTTTCAGTTCAACCAGTAATGTGTGTCTGTGTGGCTGTATAACAGCGTATTTCAAGCCATGCCGTTTTCAAAAGACCACAGGAAGCTCTAATTGGAGGTGGTGAGTAAGGTAGACTACTTYATATTTAATTGTTGTGAGCAGCATTGAACTAGAAGTGAACTATCTGTCTAACAAACACACAAATATTCTCTCAGTCAGACTTCTGCTCACTCTCTGAACTCCTCATTCCACACGGTCTAAATAGAAACAAGGAAAAACGGGTTTTCAAAGTCATCAAAGTGTCTGGAGTCGCAGTGTAATGAAGGCAATGCTATGCACTACATTAAGACAATTTTTTTACATTTTTGGAGAGGAATGTTTCTGAAAAAGTAATGCAATGCTCCATTCAGACTGTTAACATCGTAAAAAAGTTTGGAAATTAGTAATTAAATAACCCTCTACTATTTATACATTCAGGCACTGAAAAATCACATGTCAATATGTAACTAAAAAAGATAGTTGCTCTTTTTGTCCCTTGGTAAGAACAAGGAAACCGATACCTTAAAGTTGGCAAATGTGTAAAGTTTTCCTACCTTGTAGTAATGCCATATTCTTTCACATGACAGTTTCTCCTGCTTGAGTGCATTTTCAAACTTTGAACTTAAGTCAGAGCTATAGTAGCTTCTCCTAAAGCTTTCAGCCTACACTATAGGAAAGAATCCATGACACTTTTTTAGTGAGGGAAATCAGACGACTTTTCTCACTTTCCCCTTTAGACAAAAAGGTAAACAAGCAGATGGGTAGACAAAGATATTCCATGTCCTGGAGGACCGGCAGGTGAACCAAGGCTCCACAGACCAACTTTCCCAATGTGGTTAAGGACTCTCCGGTGTGACAGCCAGCTCTCACCCCAGCGACCTTGAACTCAGTCATTTTTTTAATCTATACAAGGGCTTTTACAAAAAAGCTAACTGGAACAGCCATACAATGGCTAAAACATAAACCACATCTCTACTTTGTCTCATTTTTTTATTTCTTTTTTTTTTTTGAATAATTTATTTCTCCTTGTCTTTTGGGGATGCATTTGTGTGTTTTTTTATTATTTGTTTTCTTTTTTGAGAAGCTCTAATCCAGGCCTGTGCTGAAAGGCTCAGTCATACAGGAATGAGGATTTGGATTCTTTTGGTTGATAAGTAGGAGGAAAAAAGGGGAGAAGAAGRGTGAAGAGCAGGCTGCGGATCAAGATACGGGTTCAATATTAGTCCAGGAAATGGACTTGCAGTTGGTACAGAGACACTTTGGATAGGACTGAATGAGGTGGTGTGTTATTGTGAGAAAGGCTGGGCCTGATGGGTGACGGACAGTTTGTCGAGGTCATCCACTGTCTGAAGATGTGTGTGGTGCTGTGGACGGAGAGCGCCTCCTACGTGCGGTGGAAGTCCATGAGCGCTCCGAGTGTTCCGAGCGCTCTGATGCTAGAGACGCAGGACGGAAGCGGTGAACAAAGCCGTCCATAAAGTCCTGCTGCTGCTGGGTTATGGCTTGGGAGATGAGGCAGGGCAGTGCCTGCAAGCTGCCTGCCACCGAGTCCAGCTTGTCCTCTAGTGTGCCAATGCGCTTGTCCAGCTCCTCGCTGCGTTCCTGCAGCTCAGACACCAGGTCGTACATCACATTCTGGGTCTAATGGAGAGAAATAAAATACGTTTGAGAAAGACAGAGGAGCAGAGAGGATTTAAAACAATTAAACTTGATCAAAGTAATCATAATGTCATAATACCAGCAGATAAAACACCCTTTTAGTACCAAGACAACGCCGGCACTGTGGCTCCACGACGGCTCTGATTTCGACTACCGTAACTCTGCGAAAGTTCGCTCAATCTGGAAAATTCCAACACTGACAGAGAGCTGAGACTCCGAGCTTTCTGTCAGTGTATGATGTGTTAGGTATATTACGGTAATTCGGAATAGWATCGCGAGATTTGCCGTTCAAACAACAGGGGAGCAAAAGCGAGCAGGAATCGGTGCATTTTTAGCGATTTTTAGTGTTTTTCCACGCGTTTCTTTTTGTGTTTGTGTGTGTCTGTGTGTGCCTAAGTGTGTTTGAATGGTTTGTGCTTTATGACACATTTATATGGGCTGGAAGATCGTCAAGGACCAGAAAACAACCTCTACGGTTCAGAGAAGAGGAGCCTATGCAGAAGCTTCCTCTTCTGAGGTATGTTGTTTTATCATCAGCTAGTTATCACTTTCAAACACATCTTGTGATTATAATTATTTGTCTGAGAGTTTATGTGTCATTGTGTCAGACACACCTGTTATTTCTACATATTACAATAATGAAAACCATTGTATTTGCTGCTATGAAAGGAGTGATTTTCATTTGCTGATTTCCATTTTTCTCTCAGTGCTCACAGCTCTGATGGAGTCCTCCAGTGACAGGTTTATATTTTTAGTATTATGTGTGTTTTTCTGTAGAAAATTCTAAGTGCTTCAGGCAGTTCTATGCTGAATTATCAGCTAAAGTGTAGGCATTGCAATAATTTGTTTATTAGTATATAGTTTTGTAT